AAAGAGTGTAAGCACTTTGTGAGACATGACAGAAGGATCGTGAAGGGTCTGGCAGTTACACAGTTTTCTTTCATTACAACATGCAGTCAGTGATACAGGTATTTCGGTCCTCAAGAAGCAAGCAGCAATAAATACATATTCCTCTTTATATGCAAGGAAGATATGATTTAAAGCTTGGGGGAATACTGAATTCTTTGTTCTCAGCTTTTAACAAAAGCAGGTTCCCCATCACATGGTCTTGCAGAACATGCTAATAAGGGATAAGCACATTACTAGACAATTATTTTCTAATGAAATCGTTGTTGAGAGCTAGGTTGTCATTATCAGTTCGCTGCTTGAGTGCTCCACTGAGGTGCGTACTGGAGTGTTACCCCCCCCTCAGAATTAGTTCTTTAGATGTGAACACATACTCCCTGCAGCTCTGTCCATTATGTTCACATCCCTAGGAGTCTCTTTTTCCCCGCTAATGAAGTAATTGAGGTAGGCATCTGCAGTAGAGTCAGATGCCAGCTTAAGTTTTGGAAAAATAATTAACTTGCCCTAACAAAGTCCCAGTTGAAATTTACCTTGTCAGCAGAAGGAGAGAAATATCTAGCCACACTGTCTAGAGGAATACCAACAGTTTATTGGTCCTACCAAACTGAAAAAAAATAAAGGAGTATCTAATTTTCTTTGGTTTTAATAGGCCTCTTCCTCTCTTGATGCCTCTGTTGAAATAAATATGGTAATAAAAATCCATATTCACATTGATTGGCGAGCCAACAGTAAAACAATGTTGCCCATAAAATCTTTTAGCAAAATAAGGTTGTGCTAAAATGAACAGAGGACTTGGAGGCCTAAAGTCCCTCCACTCAGTAGGAACTTTCAAGCCTGACCCTCAAATCCTAGAGTACCTGCTGGTCTGCTTTATTCAGACAACCTGTCTGCAGTGCTTATCTATCTATCTCCACTGCTCAGCTCTTCTCTACTAGAACAGTAGTGAGAGCACTCCCCAAAGAGGAGACAGGGGTGCAGTTCACTTCTCAGTCCTAGGGGTGGGATGGTCAAACTCAAACTTCGCATGTCCCAGTGGAGTGGGCTTCTGGAGCCAGGAAGTATGGAGTCCAACGAGCATCATTCGCAGGGGAGCGGACCACTCGGAAAGACATCCTGGAAGCACAAAGTCTCTGTGCTTTGAATGCTCTCAGGCTAAAGTGAATGAAGGTCTCTTAATTCCTGAGTACATGCTCTAGCTAAGAGCCTAACGCCCCAAAACTGGCAAAAGTACTTCTTGCCCACACTTCAGGGTTTCAGTAAAAAAATGGGGTGGGGTCCCGCTCAGTTTTTCCGGAAAAGAACTGTTGGCCCCTGGCAAACAGAAGGGTTCCCAGCACGAGGTGCTGTGGGCGCTGCACAACCCACTCATAGACTCACCTCGGCCCAGAAGTCGAGCTCAGCATTTCCCACTGGCTCTTTCAAGGTGCCTGACTTACCCCAGAAGCCCAAACCTACTGCTCTGGACTCTGCCCTAGAAGAAGAGGACAGGAGCTGATGCCTAAGGGTTACACTTTGCAGCTTCTAATGTGTAGGTATTGAAAACTTTTCTTTTAGGGGTGAGTTAGACTTAGCATCTGGCTTGTAGCATCATACCTTGGGGAATGCAGGACACGCCATCACTTGCTAAAGTGTAATCATCCGCACAGAAGCACCTTCGTTTTTCAGACTGCTTGTCATCAGCACAGTACTGTTCACAGCCACCATTGTTGTAAATACACTTCATTTGGTCAGTCACAGCTAAATTCAGAGAAAGAATCTATGTTTCCGAGCATGGATTTCAGTGCTTAACACAAGTCAATTACAACTTGAACTGCTGACAAGGAAGCAAGGCAGTAAATCAGAGGTCAGTGACGTATGTACAGTGACCAGATCAGAAGCTGATTCTGTTTGGCAAAAGTTGTATAGAACTGGATCACCAGGGATTAAGGAGGAAAAGTCTATGCTTAAAAAACATGCACCTAAAGATAAATCAGTCTGCATTTATGCAGGATCTGAGCTACAGCAGTAGCCCTCTATGCTTCCTAAAGGATAGGAGTGTTGTCGATTAGGATTGTATGGCAAACATCCTAATACATAACTATGGAAAAATTACAACTATTTTGTATTTTTCTGTTTGGTACAAGGATGCTCTGGGAAGACCATTGAATAAATTACATGATAAGAAAACTTCTCTTTTGTGAAAGGAGTCAAAAAACCCTCCTCCCCTGCCCACAAATTTTGACACTTCAGCTACCTGAATGGCTAGGTGTGCATGGATGCTTTATAATAATTACTTACGCACTGCTAGGAGCCGCTCATGCCCTAGAGGCGGAAGTAGAAACAGTAGAAGGGAAAGTGTGGTGTAGTCCCTGCAGCAGAGATACCCACATGCATAACTGTGTTTTCAGAAGTTATTTGTAAAAAGAGAGGAGGCTCACACATTCTGCTCTAGTGATGGCGAGCATGAAAAACGCCTAGGAGACTGGTAGGTGGTAGAGAAGGCAGACGTGATCAGCTGAGCAGTATGAGGAGACTGCGAGAAGATACAAGGGCAGAGATGGCAGCTTGGCTTACGTTATAGGTGGCACACGACAGGTAACGAGCAGTCAGAGCTCTGAGACTGCCTGGTTTGAGTTGACAGGTGCCTAATCCTTGTTTGGGCTCCCCAACAAGGATTAAGTTGATGGCCAACTTAACAGTCAATATACAGCACCCATTGAAATCAATGAAAAGAATTATAATGACTGTATTAGACACTAATTAGACACTAGACATTCTCTGTCCCCTCTGACTTTGTATGATGGCTTATGCAGCATAGTCAAGTAACTTCCCACCCTTGGAAATTTGGATAGGAAGAGCAATCCTCCTTCTCTCTCTGGTGGTTCACAAAAGTCCAATTTTTTACAGGATCCCCATAAGGTAGCAATTATTTTGCTGCTATACAGTGCCTGACTGTCAGCTGGTTAGATCCATCATAAAACACTGCAGACAGTGTTAATGGCAGCTGTCAATGCTAGAATGATACAGATTATCAATGTTTGCTACTGCTTATCCCAATGACTTGCATGTGAATTAATAATGACATTTTTACTTCGTTAAGCTATGCCATAGCTGACCTTTTTCACAGTTTTTGCCCTCATATTCCTTGGGACAACGGCAAACATAATCCTGAAGCTGATCATCACAACTCCCACCGTTCTGACAGGGATTGGAGTCACACTGGTTAGGGTCTGTAAAAACGTTCAGCGTTAGTCCAGATCACATGAAGAATTGCAGCAGCGGGAGCATTTTTATAACATGTGGAATTCTCATACCAGAATAGATGTGCCAGAATTCTGTCTGGAAGAAAAAGATGCAAAATTGTATTAAAGAAAAAAATAATTCAGATTAAATCCGACAGCCCTTGTAACAGAGGACGCATTACAGACAGCCACAGTGCTGCCCCTTTTTGCCTTTATAATTTATTAAATGGGATGTCCATAAAATATTCTACCTCATTTTCCTCTACCAAGAGAGACAAGCACTGTGTAATATGCACAAGTAGGTTCCCCTTAATAATCTCCCTATGGTTAAGGTGAAAACAAACTTATGGCATAATACAAGTATTTAAGGTATTTTCAGGCCTGGAATTATTGCAGTGGGGGGGCAGGAAGATGACTTAGACTCTCCTTTCCCACCATCCCCCAAATTGGTACTGCCTGATGTGGTCCATGTCGTACGCCCTTCACACTGCTGCAGTGTGCCCCCCTAGGTACCTAAGACAAAGATCCAAACAGCAGGACACAGAGCGTTTTTTTTGCTTTCATGGTTTCAAGTGTCAAAGAACACTTAAAAGTATACCCTTGAATAATGGGGAATTTCCACCTAAAGTCCCTCTGACTGCGAGCGCTTACCCAGCACTGTGTTACTTACTGTCCTTTCATCGTCGTGGTAAATTTCTCTTGCTTCCTCAAACGAACACTTTTCTTCCATGCATTCTCGCTCTAGTGACCCCAGTTTTATCTCTTCAAAGAAGCTATTGGCTCTTCTTTGCCTTTGCAAAAGACTGGTTGCCTCTTCCTGCTTTAAAAAGACTGAAAAACAATGGCATGTTCTGTTTGCCATACATCCTCGGTGTCCAGAAAGGATGGACAGCATGAAAGGTTTCTTCTGAAAGCTTTTCTGCTTTCCAGGCTTTTTATGAGAAGTCTTAGAATTAGACATAGTGAGCAAATTTGCGCAACCTTTCAGAGCCACCACCTCCTTTCTCTGACGTGCCTCCCAGGTAAAGTGACAGCACGTGGATTTTGCAGAGCCCAGAGCTTAAGAGAAGTGTTACGTGTCAGCAGTACACAAAGTATTGGCACACATTATATAGTAGGTAGACAGGACAGAGTTTCTTTCGATTCTAGCAGCTGAACAGCGCATGTCATTTCATCTAGTGCTGACAGATGTGGTGACAGCTCATTCTCCTGTACTCACTACAGTAAGTCACTTGGTGCCAGATGTACCACAGTCAACCCTAACTCCCCAGTGCTCCATTCATCACTGGTTTTAGCTCCAAACCTTTCACTCTTTGGACCTGCAGAAGGGATTTTTCAGGCCGCTAGTAGGCCACAGTTTGAGAAGCACTGCTTTAATATAGTTATCTTTACTTTTCTTCTGAAAAAAAGACTACATCATGGTACATAGAAAGGCTGGACAATGCCCTTTGTGTTGCCTAGTGGAGCCTGCATAGGGCTCCTAACTGCTGCTAGCACCGTAGACCACAGCCACAGGGGTCTTATCCCTGTGAGTCTCTACCGTACTTCGAAAGGACATTGGGAACACAAGTTGTATGGCAGATGTCATCAGAGTTCACTTCACAGAGCTACTTCAGCTTCCAACGAATGTAAATGTGCATTTAAAGACCTGATAGCATTGACTCACCATGCTGACCTCCTCCTAAGCTTCAGGATATAATCATACCACCAACTATGCCCTCCTGGTATAATTCAGGATAATAAACAGTAAGACCCAGTGCTGCAGTGTATTTTTGCTCCATGTACTACACTGCATGAGTCTTGAAGTGATTAATTTTGCAGTGTGTTCCTCCGTGTCACTAGGCAGTTCTGAAGCTTACTGACAACAGTTTATATCTCAGCACTTGCAACTATTTCACCTGGGATTGTGGGTAGATTTGAGGATTAAGGATGATGCCCTTGCCTTTCCCCCAGGACATTCTCCACTATGTGACCCCTGAAAGAGAGGTAATTACCTCCTACCTCCTGGAAAGGCTTTGAGGTGGTCTCTGAAGGACAAGATAAAAAATCGGGGGTGCATGTGGATATGGACACTCATATCTATCCTCACATAAATACACACAAAAATAAACCCTGAGAGGATTTACTCCGGTCTGGTGACTTTGTTTCTACTCGTTAATCTCTAATCAGAACATTTGCTGAATTACATACAAAAACAGTAGTAGTTTTCCCTGTATTATGAAGTTATTTGAAGGAATAACTTGTTGTGTGGTGCATCTAATTTGTCACAGGATGCTTCATAAGAATTTGTCTATTGTAGGAATGTTGCTGTTGATTTTTGTCAGGTTGTAAGCTTTTAATTTGGCTTTCTTTAAAGGATTGTAATTGACCTTACGCTGCAAATACATTACATATGCATCAGTGTGCCTGCATGGACCCTAACGGGGGGATTTGCATATGTGCATGGCTTGTGACCTCCTCCCACCTTTATTTCTGTATTCTCCACTTATTTGCACTGGAACATTATAGACTTTTCTGTGATTTTTTTTTTCAGCTTTGTCTACTGCAATTCAAGAGGCCTTGTCAATGGCTAACTGGGCATCTTAAAGCACTTGGTCCCCTCTCTTAATCTGGGAGGTTATTTTCAGACATATACTGATGCTACTGAAAAGCTAATATCTCACTTCATTCTACTACTGTGGAAACATAGTGGAGCTTCACCCCTCTAGTTTCTCATCAGCTGAACGACAGACTGTTAAATCTCTGCTTTGAAAAATTCCGTAAAACAGGTGACCATAAAATAGCAATAGATCCAAATCCCTATTTTCACCTAGTGGGCAGACAGCTGATGGTTTACCTGCTGTCTGTGCAGTGAGAGACTAGATTCACATATGCGTGTAGAAGCGATTTTCCCCACTCGACAAAATAATCACATGGATGCCATCACTGAAAGCAAACAAGAGCCTTTAACTCACAGGCACAATGAGAGGCTGGGCAAACATTTGCGTATACTCTTTACTGAAGAGTGCTCAAAACTTACAATAAGAATTTCACCTCAAAAATGGAAGAGAGGTCCACTGCCAATAATCATAATTAGAGCCATATCCTATCACATACCTGCATCCAGAGAAAGAGGAATCAGGAGCGGGAAGCAGAGAAACAAAGCTGTGTACAGCCTGGAAACCATGATGACCCCTGCAAGTGTCCCAGTAATGTATTGACATTTCAGCAAGGACTGTTTAGCCAGAGAGCTCAGCTTCAGACGCTTCGCGCTAGAGGAGGGGCTGGCAAGTCATTACAACAGGAAAAGGTCCATTACAGTGATGACAGCAGAGAGAAGTGCGCATGCAAGTCCTGCAATGAGTCCTTTCCACACCAGCAAAGGGCTTGGTTTTGAAGCATTCTCTTCTGACCTGTGCAAAGTCTATGCTGATTACAAAGTCTTCTGTTGTGGGCCTTTATTTACTATCTAACATGATATTTGATGAGCAATATAAATTCCAAGGACTCTGCATCTGTCTGAATGGCACTAACTTGGCTACAGTGCCAGAGAAGCAGAGAGCAGAGAAATGAAGACACTAATCTTTAGCTTGAATTGGCACTGAATGCATAGCCTTTCTTTGCTTTGCAGAGTGGTCAAACTATTGACATCTGTCTTTTCCCATTTCACCAGCTGAAACTCTGAACTACTGGCTGAATTTACTTGGAGACACTAATTAACCAGCAAGAAATACCCTGCACTGCTTTGCTCTGTTTTTGCTGCAGGACCCACAGAGCTTGCACGAGTTCTACCAGCTGGAAGAGGTGCTGAACCCAATACACACTATATGTAATTAATAATAGTAGGGGTCTGAGGGGCCAATCTGCAGACAATATTTTATCTGGAAACTAAGCAGTCCTCTGATTGAATAGAAATCAATTAACGGCATGAGACTAGAGAGCTGACAACACTCTTAAGTAAATATTTACTTAAGATAACAGAGAGGTAAAGAGCATGTTTGCCTATGAGAAGTGAGGCATTCCCTAAGGGCTGGAGTATTTTCCAGGCAGTTCTCCACTTTGTAAGTGTAAAGGAAGGAGGGTCATTCTTGCACATGAACATTAGAGCCAAGAAAGCAACAGCTGTTTTTTTTACTTTGAGGCCAACGCTCAGCTTAACTTCCTGCAGAAGTCATGATTGATTAGGAAAGCTAGGGTCCCAGCCGTTCTTTGCATGTGTTCCTGTTATTTAGCGGCAGTGCGCACAGCTGGACATCCTGCTTTGAAATCTGTTTCCCAAGAGGGGGCATTCGGGCACTTCCCTGGATCGCAGCCTGGCTCATTCCCAGCAGCTCAGTTCCTGGGATTTTGGGGACTGGTGGCAGGTCCTGTCCCAGGGCAGAGGAAGGAAGCCGGTTACTAGAATACAAAAGGAGCTACAGCAGCCCATAGCGGTCCTCACCTCTGCTTTTGGGGAATGGCCTCCACACCTCATAGCTCGACGACATGGTCCTCATTCCCCTCTGCATCCAGCTCCAGCCATGGGGGTCAGAGAAGAGAAAATCACTGAAGGAAGGAAAACACAGGCTAAAAGACCTCTCGGAGACCTCTCTGTTTGCTAGGAATGTGGGCTGGTGGGTAAAGGAAGAGAAGGAAAGAGCAGACAAGGAGAGGAGCATGTGGAGATCATGGCGGCAGCAGTGCCGTGGGGAGTGCACTGGCTCTTATTGCCAGGCAGGGAAGAGCTTTGTGTCTAGGCAAAAGAGAGGAAGGGAGGAAAAAAATGGGACTGGACATGTGCCTGCACTGGGGCAGAAGGAAAAACTAAAGATACATTTACTCGAAAAGCTGAAGATATATTCCCTTGCCTGCAGCCATTAATTTAAAATAGTAAGTACATATTCAGCTTACAAAGAGCTAAGCTAAGTTTGTCGGAGCTGCTTGAAAACTTTTCTTTTTGTCTGCTCTTCTCGGGGAAAGATATCTCCTCTGTGTATATGAGCAAGCCTCTACCTACCAGTCGTGCAAATCAGAGTGCAAGGCCGTGCTTCTCGCACTTGATGCCACCCTGCCTTTTGTACCGATTGCCACTCGTAGCAGCATTTTCTTAGGCTGCTCCTTTAACTAGCCCTGCTGGAAATGATGGCACGTGCAGAAAAAGCTTCAAAGTTAGACATTATCACTGTGGAGCACCTAGAACATTTTTCAATACCACTTTTAGATCAGTGGCTAAATCTTTATGCCAGATTCCCAGAAAGGCATGGGTGGATATCTGCCAGTGCACTGCTGGAGAGACTGGAGTGGCTCCCACTCCACAGCGGCGTCAACACACCTCTGGCACCGCTTCACTTTTGTGTCTTCTTTCTTCATAGTTGGCAGGTTCTGTGCATCCTTTATGGCTGGTACAATATTGTCCTTCCTTCTTCCTCTTTTGGCACTGCTTAAGCCTGAAAGATTTTGCTTTTGCTGCTTGGGAATATAGAAAACCACTTTTTAATTATTTTTAGAGCCTAGGGGGAAGCCCAAGTGCTGGGAACAACAGTCAGCGTTCAGGTCATATGGCGACAGTCTTTCTTCCAAGAAAAATTCATATGATTAGATTTCATTAGGGATGACAAAGGTGACCAAGCCCATGAGGGGAGTCACTGGAAATTCAGCAGTCCCAGAACGTCAGCTCTTCTCTCAGTTACATTCACAGTAACATTAACTAACAATATTCACAGTTCTCTTTTCAAAACTGTTTCCTGCTAACTTCAGAGGGCCAGTTCTTTGGTTAGAGTCGTGTTACTTAAAGAAGAGCTCACCTCCCTTTTTGTCTTAGACCCCAGTTTGGGGGCCAAACTTAAGTTTGTTAGCTTTTCTTCCCCAGAGGATCCCTAAATCTCCCATTGATTGTGCGTGCGTGTATGTGCGTGAGTGCGGTCTTGCTGTAGTACATGAGAATTACCTTGGTATTCTGTGCTATGAATCTCCTTGATGCTGGAGGCTTCAGTCCTGGCTTACATTTTCTAAGCAAGTCCAAGAAAAATAATCTACCGTCCAACTAAAAGTGAAAATATATTAAAACAAACAAACACCCTTTCTGTTCATGGGTACTACTAGAATCAATCTAGTGTCAGCTGTTCCGGAACTATGACTTAGGGTGCTTTGTAGCATATGCTTTTTTGGATGTGTCAAAATTGCTTTATTTCCAAGTGGAGATTAAGCAAATAAACATCAAGAATGTTAACAAAGTGAAAAAAAAAGTCTAAAAGCAGAAACATTAGCCTGGAAGACATGATGAACTGGTGTCTCAGAACATACTGTTCTTTGTTCTTTTTTTGTTTCATTCTGACATTTTCAAAGAAAAACTTACAGTTTTGCTATTTTTAGTTTGATATTTTAGGTTGAAGATAAGACAGATATGAAAGCTTCTGGGAACACTGCAACTTGATCTGCTTTACCAGGTCACTGGTTATTTAAATGCGACTTTTCTGGTCAGTTCTCAGTAACAATTTAGAAAACTATTCAATGAGTTCTATTTCAGAGAGACCATAAGAGATTGTTCGAGTAGACTGACATGACTGAGTCTAGGTAAGAAAAGTTAGGAAGAAGTTGCCTCATGAATTAATGGAAAAGTCAGCCTAAATCTCCAATAGCCTAACCTAAATCTCCAATAACAAGAGTAACCTGCCATCATTCATTTATGTGATGAATTAAGAAGAGCTTACCTTCTTTGTCCACAAACTAAACCTGTGATCAAATCAATCATTTCCTATTTCTGTGATACTAATTAAAAATATATATTACTAAACCTTGAAATAAATGATTTGCTTTTTAGACTTCAAAAGAGAAATATTCATTGCTAGGAGAGGATTACTCCACATGTCTGTTTTACTGAGTTCTGTATCCCTATTCAGCAATTATCCTCACAAAGTGAGAGTAGAAGATGGGGAGAGGATATTTTTGTGCATTTTTTATGATCATCTCTGAATATAAATGTTTAAAACTTTTTTCTATTTTTTAATCTTTTTTTCCTCTTCTTTTGCTGCCAGAGAATATCTGCAGATACCCTGATAACAAAGGAAACAAAAAACATAGACAAGGCAGAGCAAAATACATTTGAAATAAAGGCAGCGTGCCCCCAAAGTTTGTCTGTTTAATGCCTCCTGTTGTAGTTGGTAATAAGAAATACTAGTTCTAATACATACAGACCTTTTCTTGACTATTTCCTGAGACGCAGCCACAACATTACCACTAGTAAATATGTAGTCTTTTGAATGCAGGTGAGGACCTTGCTGCCTTGTCAGTTTATATGAAATGAATAAATATAAAAACCTGAAAAATGATTCATTGATTCACTTCAACTGATTTGTCAAAGACAGTATTTCAGCACCAAACCAGCTAATCTTGGTTAAAGTCCTTCAGAACAGAAACACAAATCTTTAGCCTTGATTTTCTACCACCATCTGTAGGCTGCTGGTGGTACTGGTAGCGAGCTGCAAAGAAGCCTAGCAAACACCTTGTCACACCTCAGCTTTTCTTTTATGTAGGTCTCCTGCTGCTGTAGGGACTGAATTTCCATGGGGCAGCATTGCCTGTGTCCAAAGGGCTCTGAGCCGCAGAGCAGCTGGGGAGCATTCCTCCTGGTTTGCCTTTCCCCTGGCTGCTCTGGGGCTCTGGCCACAACTCGGCCTCTCGATTAGACAACCTGAGGGATCCTTCTGTTGCGCTGGAGAAGGAAACATTGCCAATTTGTCTTCTAGCCTGCTTTTTTATACACCGTGCTTCTTTTTGCCGAGGCTTTGTCTACACAACACACTGCCCCAAGATATTAAAAAGAAGACTGTAGCTTTGGCCGAGGACACGTCCCTGTGAATATCCCTTGGAGCTATCAAAATGGTTGGAGTCCATCAATATTTTGTCGTGTTTTTTTTTCCGTTTGTGTATGACTTGATATTTTGAGCTAACCACATGCAGCAGAGCATGAGCAGCCAAGGGAGGTCCTGGAGGACGAAGCAACTGTACCAGCATTTCTCCAGCTCCAGAAGAGCCTCCCCCCCCCATGTCACATCTCATCGCCCTGCGCACCCCCTGCAGCTCCCCTGCTGCCTTTCGAGGGTGGCCCTTTACGGGACAGCACTGGCATTAAAGAGCCTGTCTGGCCCCAGGGCCACATTCTGGTCTCGGTTCCCGTCAGTCCTGGGAGCTGCTGTGGTGGAAAACTGCCTGGGGAAGGGGGGAGATGATTGAGCTGCTCCTTGACCTGGTCACTGCAAGGCTGCCAGGGCACTAGTGCTAGCGAGGAAGCAGGATGGGAACTCGCTGCGTGGCTTACAGCAGCCTGGCAGCAGCTACACAGCAGCTACTTCAATCACTGACACGTAGCATTTTTCTTGTTAAAACACTTTTTGTGCCCTGTGTGCCTCACACCACTACACTCACCAGTCCCATGCCCTGCCTCAAAAAATAACCCTTCAGCTCTGTATTCTCTCTCTTTTCCACCTC